AAAACATTGGAGGGCGGTTTTAGGGCCAGGGGAGTGCAGAGGCTCCGCCCATTTGTGTAGAAAGGCCAGTGGGCAACACCACGTGGAGGGGTATCCGTGTCCAGGGGCGGCCGAACCGAGGTGCCACTGGCTGCAGCTGGACCACCAGAGGCATATTCTCTTGCGACTCTGGAGGCCGGAAGTTTGCACGGTGTGGGCTGGCGTGCCCCCTCCGCAGGCTCCAGGGGCGGGTCCCGCCCGCCTGCCCAGCTGCTGAGGCTCCTGGAGATTCCTGGCCGGCGGCCTTCTCGTAGGTGGGTCTTCTTATAAGCCCCCGATCACTGAATCAGGGCCTCCCTATTCCAGTGTGACCTCAACTTCACGTGATTACACCTGCAAGAACACTGTTTCCAAGCAAGGTCCCACTCTCGGGTTCTGGTGGGTGTGAAGTTGAGGAGCTGCTCTTTGCCCTGGGACAAGGGCCTTCCACTGAACCACGTGCCACCTCTGGTGGCTTCTCCCTGCACGGGGTCCCCAGCCTGCCCCCCTCCTCCTAGCATGGGGCAGGGGGACAGAGGGTTCAAGGCAGCAGGGAGTTCACCTCGTTGGTGACCCGGGCGGTGTTGGAAGACGTGGCCAGAGTTGGGTCTTGAGGTGCATGTGGAGAGAAGGCGGGGGCCCTGGCTGGAGGGGTGGCACGGCTGGAGCCTCCGGGGCGGAAAAAACAGGTGCGCTCCCTTGCTGCCCAGCACCTCCCAGCCAGGACGCCACGTCCTCTAGTCAAAGTTCCTGCTCTGTGCAGCCTTTGCCATTTGGCTGCAGTGGGCCGTGGCGAGGTCAGCTCTTGACTGCTGTCCCAGATCGCCCTGCACTCTGAGCGTAGCTCCCAGGCCTCCTGAGTCGGCTGAGCCATCCATGGCCCCTGCCTGGCCTGCGAAGCCCGGCCCCAGGGCCTAAATTCCTCCTCGGCCGCCGTCAGCTCCAGCCCCCAGCGCCAGGCTTGTCCCCCCGCAGGCTCTCGCACCTGAAATCATCGCTCCGGAAAGGCCCCAGAGTATTTGGGGGCAAGGTGGGGAGGGATTGTGAACAAGGTATATTTAAACAGAGTGTTTAAGTGTTCAGAATACTTTTTTTAAAATTACAAAATGCATTCCATGACAACAAAGCAGAGCAAGAGTCTCCTCTGAAAGCAGTAGCTGCCATAATGACAGATTCACGTAGACTGGACCATTTGTGATCAGAAAGACAGCGTGGCCAGCCCCAGCCAGCAGGGACGGAAGCTGAGGGCTGGTGGGAGTCACAGGCTGGCTGCGGGGACTTACCACCGCCCTGGCCAGTTTACAGAGGAGCCAGGTCTTGGGAGCCAGGCAACGGCAGGGACAAGGGATGGATTTGGGCTCCGAGTGCCTGGGGTCGTATCAAAGCTACTGTGGATTATTTTGCAGGTTTATTTGGAGTTTGGGTGAATATCTATCCTCATCCCAGATGAGGAAACTGAGTCAGAGAGGTTGTGATGTGTTGAAAGTCACAGAGCAAGAACTGGGCCTCCATCAGGCGTAGCTCCTTTTTGGTTCTGGTGCCTGAGTTGGTTCTGACCCTCCTCTGGGCCTTCATCTGATGGTAACAACTCTGCATCATGTGTGTACCCGGGTCAAGTTTAATCCCCCCAGCATGGGCAGGGGCAGGCTAGGCTCCCTCCCGGCCTGGCAGCCAGCTCTGACCCATGGGGCCCCCGCCCATCACTGCCTCTTTGAGGGGTGGGCTTCATGTCCACCTGCCCGTGACCCTGGCACCCCTCCACCAGCCTGACCCCACCAGGCCCTGCCCATGTGCACAAGAGGAGCCGCACGGGGCAGCCACTTGGGACCTGGCTGCAGGAACCCATCTTGCTGGGCAGCACACGGCACCCTGTGATCTCTGGGCATCCCAGTACCTACATGTCCACGGGGAGGCCGCAGTCCGTGGTCAGGGAAAAGGAGTCTTCGGACACGGCCAAGACCAGCGTGTGCCACTGGCCGTCCATCAGGGCTGGGCTGCGGAAGGACACGCGGGTCTGCCAGATTCCCGCCGCGTCCTCGCTGCGGAAGAGGAAGTGCAGCCGGGCAGCCGAGTAGAGCAGGCCGAGCAGCAGGGCGTCCAGCCCCTCCGCCATCACCGTGAGCAGGTACTCGTTCTTCTGCAGGGACAGGGCGGCACGTGGGAGCACACGCTCGGGTTAACAGGCCTCGCTATTGTAACGATCGCTTTACCGAATCGTACTCTCTCCTTTGTGCAGGCACATGAGACGTGCATAACCGAAGCCCACGCTTTCTGTGCTTGTCACTGTGCTGCTGCTTCAGAGCCAAGGGTCCCACAGCACACAGGCTGAACTCTCGACACCAGTCCCCTCCTCATCTGCAGAGCTTCGCTCAGCTGCCTCGGAGCCGCTTTGCCAGCAGGACCTGCTACCAACTGGCTCCTCGCCGTGAAAAGCGGAGACATGCCCTGCTCGCTTTGCTGA